CCTCAAATCGTGGCGGCTAGACGGCGGTTCTCCTCCAAAATTCCGATGATGAACTTTTCCACTTCGTAATTTATATAAATACTATGAATTTAGGACTTAAATGCAGTTAATATAATGAACATACACTATTTGGATTCAATAGTAAACAATTGAGTAGATACTATGAATTTAGGACTTAATTGCAATTAATAACTGTTTACTAATTGGACTCAATAGCAATTAATTGAAAATTCAATTTCAATTAGAAGGTTGTACTTTATTATTAAGTAAGTAGAGGTGTTGCCTATCAAAATCCTGCTTTCTGGAAATTTCTAACAATGGTTTTTCTTTTGACATATCTGACATTAAATCTTATGAGTAGACTATATTTTTTCCGTCATTTAATTGTTTGATGATCAAAACTAACAAAAATCATTATTAAAATGCAAGCATTAGTACTATTATATCCTATATGTTAAGATTAAAGTACTCCCTCAACCCCATGACAGATAATTAAATTTTAAAAAGTTCAAAATATAGTTTTATAGGCATTTTAAAAATTACAGATAAAAAGGAGGGCTGATTAGAATAATTTGATTTAACAAGTCCCAAACACCATATAAGTCGACCACTCAATGAAAATAAAATTATACATCCGTTCTTAATTCTGAAGATGTCCAATGAGGTAGCGATCCCTGGATTTAAAAAAAATGAAGATGCCATATATATGTTAGTAACTTGGTAAAATTTTTAAATGTCACTTGATCTACTAAAGTTGCTCAATGAGGGTCACATAGGAACATCAATAGTAAACAAAGTAATGTTATGATAGTTTCAAAAAGAATGATTAAATGCAATTTGGTAGGAAGTATAAGATAAGCCGCTTAACAATTGAGCGGAGAAATTTTCTCTCTTATATGTAGTGGTTTAAGGTATAATAAGAAAAGCTTGCTAATAATTGAGCGGATGAAATTCCTCTATCATATATAGTGATTTTAAGTATTGGAAAATAAGCTTACTAACAATTGAACAGGGAAATTGAGTAGGATATTTTTCTCTCTCACATGTGGTGTTTCTAGGTATAAGATCAGCCGACTAACAATTGAGCGGGAGAACGTTATCTCTCATAAACCGTTCTTTTAAGTATAAGATAATCCGGCTAACAATTGAGAGGAAAATATTTTTTCTCATATGTGTGTTTTTAGGTACAAGAAGATAAACCGGCTAACAATTGAGCGGGAAAATTTTCTTTTTCATATGTAGTACTTTTAGGTATTATAAAATAAGTGTGCTAACAATTGAGTGGGATAACTTTCTCTCATATATGTAGTTCTTTTATGTAGATATAAGTCGGTTAACAATTAAGCGGTATACTTATCTCTCTCATAATGTAGTGCTTTTATGTATAAGATAATTCGGCTAACAATTGAGTGAGATAATTTTTTCTAATGTTTAGTTCTTTTAGGTATAAAATAAGAACACGAACAATTGAGCGTGACAATTTTCTCTCACAAATGTTAGCACTAATTTAGCTCATGATTAACAAATTCTTACTTAACTAATAATCATTAATTTCAATATTTATTGTGTTCACTTAGACTTTTTGTCATTAAATTAAATACCTTCTTACACTCACTTCGTAGAAGAATATTTAATTTTAAAATGAATTTAATCATGAAAAATAATTGTAACAAATTCTAATGAGTGGTGTCAATTAATTTTCTCTAATACACTCTTCATTGAAAATTAATTATGATTTTAGCTTATTATACTCCTTGATTTCAAAAACGTAAAATCCTAAAAAGTTATTTTATTTTAATATTTAATTTGATCATGAGTAAAAATATATGTATCAACTGTTATTTCTCGTGCGTATGCACGGGTACTATACCAGTTGCGTATGAAATACAATCATATATGGAGCACATATATGCAACACAAAAAGTTCATGTTATTAACATGTACTCGATATTTCTTATCCTCTTTTTTGTTTTATCAACCATAATTTCATTATCTACTAAAGACGACTTGGAAAACACGAAACAACGTCATTTCTTCTTTTAAAAAAATGACTTTGACTTTGCACATCACTGTTGGGTGATATTGAACTTTGCATCACATTCTCACAAAAACTAATGTGTGCATCACATATTATATTATATAAGATTATTTGACTCTACACCTTCATTCCTTCACAAGTTTCGGGTATATCGATGAAGTGCACATTAATTTTTCTAAAAATTGGATTCAACATTCAATAAATATATATATATATATATATATATATATATATATATATATATAGAGGAATGCTCCTGTCCAGACGTCCGGACAGGAGCCGCCGTCCGGCCGGCGGCGTTTGGCCGCCTTCCCGGTGGAATTTTTTGATGAAATTTTTATGGCATGTTCTCCATCAAGTCTAGTTTATCCACAAAAAAATTCAGCTAAAAACTCAATCGGGAAGGTCGTCAAATGATTTTTGCAAGTTAACTGGTCCGGAAAATACATATTCCGGACCAGTTAACTTGCAAAAATCATTTGACGACCTTCCCGATTGAGTTTTTGGCTGAATTTTTTTGTGGATAAACTAGACTTGATGGAGAACATGCCATAAAAATTTCATCAAAAAAATCCACCGGGAAGGCGGCCAAACGCCGCCGGCCGGACGGCGGCTCCTGTCCGGACGTCTGGACAGGATCTTTTCTATATATATATATATATATATATATATATATATATATATATATAGCCCTAAAATAGGGTGCAAAGACAAAATTTTCCAAAGAAGAACGGTACAAGCTACCAAATACTTTCTTGACAAAAAATGGTTCAAAATGGCAATTCATTACTTACAAAATTCTCTCTTTTATTTAGGCCCGACACTAAAGTACAAAGCTACTAGTATTGTATGTGATGACTGATGATGGAATAAAATACGAAGTACAATTTTGTACAAAAAAAACGAAGTACAATATTTTCAAAAAAAAAACGGAGTACAATAATGTTTATTTCTTATCTTGTTGCATGTACAATAAAGAACCTACTAGCTAGCTTAGGGATTCTTTTGGCATTAAGATTAAAAACGTTTAAAAATAATTAGGACATTTATTAATTTAGAAAATAAAAACTTAATACTTGTATTTTGGAATTACTAAACATTTTTACTCATATTTAGTGTAATTTCTTAGAAGTGTTACATTGAAGGATACCTAAATATATATGAGGCGCGTCTCATATAAAATGCAACTATACCTTGTGATATTTTCTCTCATATTTTAATTTCCCGAGTCAGTTGTACTATCTGTTTTTTGTTTCCTTATTCATCTACAAATACTGTAATAACCATACTGGATGAATGATAATATGATTTTCTATCCTATCAATCTTTTGGAGGGCCGGCCCAGAGGGAGTTTAGGGTGTGCGACCGCACAGGGCCCAAAAAATTGGAGGGCCCAAAATAAAATTTTTAGTAGTAGTACTACTACTCTACTAATGTAATTATGTATTATGAATTGATGAAATAATGAAATTTAACAAATTTGGTTGTTATTTAGAATTAAATGTAATTAGTTGATGAGTTAATTAGGCTATTTATATTTAATAAATTTATAATTGCCGCAGCTATGTATTAAGAACATCTATTTGTCGATCAATATTTATGTCAGAAAGGAATACCCAAATTTTGTTATTGCACAAGGCCTCCATTTTCTCAGGACCGGCCCTGATCTTTTGATACGATCATAAATCATAATAGCTTAAATGGTATCATGGAGAAAACGAAAACTGTCACCTTCGTGTATCAATTTTTGCTTCGCTAGAACGTACTCCTCCATCTTTTTTCTTAACTGGCACTCGCAACTAGTGAAACCAACGAATCCTCTCTTCTTGTATCCTAGCAAAAATCATGTTTTAATCCTCATCACACTACTTTCAGAAAACCATTTTCCCCAATGGAGACATGGCATGCTTGTTGCACTCGAGATGAAGAACAAAATCAATTTGTTCTCGGTACTCTGTCATGTCCACCAACTTCAGATCCTCTTCACACAGCATGGAGACGATGTAACAAAATGGTTATATCATGGCTCAGCTGCTCGATGACTACTTTGATTTGGCAATCTATCTAGGCATGGACTGGCTTCGCGCCGGTCCAAACCAGGCTTTTTATTTTTGGGAAGGCCCGAAACTGGCCCGGAATTCCATCGGGTACGGGCCGGTCTCGGGCCAGTTCATTATTTTTGGCTTTTTTAATTAACCCCCCCACCCCCCAAAGCCCCCCCTCCCCCCAAACACCCAGCCAACCCGGGAAAAACAAAAAACAATTGAAAAAATAAAAAAAGACCCAAACCGGGCCCGGCACGGCTGGGCCGGTTCCAAATAGACCTGGACTCGAGCCGGTTCGGGCCCGGTTCGGGCCTGGGCCCAGCCGGGCCTCGGGCCAGGAAAGTTGGGCCCGAGCCCGAACCGCCGATGGGCGGTTCCGGTTCCGGTTCCGGGCCTAACCAGGTCGGGCCGGGCCGAACCGAATATTATTTATTTATTTTTTTGGCTCTTCTATTTAACCCCCAACCCCTCCCCCTCAACCTCAAACCACCCCAAACCACTTCAAATGGCCCAAAATACCTAATCCAACCCAAAACTTAAAAAAAATCCAAAAAAAAAAAAAAAAAAAATTCGGCCCGAACCGGCCGGGCCGGTTCGCCAAAACCAGGGCCCGAGCCCGAACTGCCCAGCATCCGGGCCGGGCCGAACCGAACCGGTGGACCCACCGGGCTCCGGGCCGGGCCGGGCCAAACAGTAACCGGGCCGGGCCGCCCGGCCCGAGTCCAGGTCTAGTTCCAAAGGAAGGGCAGCCTGGAACCGCCATGCCCTAACCCCCGGGCCGGGCCGAGGCCACACAGTGGCGGGCCAGGCCGACCAGAACCGGTCCATCCCTAAATCTATAATGTGGAATGAATATGCTTCAGAGATCTGGCATGACTTATGCGATCAATTCTCTCATGGTGACATGTTTCAAATTTGCTGATTTGCGAGAAGAATTACAACATCGTCGACAAGGTGATCTTAATGTTTGGCAAGCAGGCAAGGTGATCTTAATGTTTGGCAGTAGTGCAGTACTTTACTCATTTGCGAACTCTCGGGAAAGATTTACCATGTATAGAACAATTCTTGTTTTCTCTTGTACAACTACTTGTTCTTGTGGAATCGTGACCAAAATTCAAAAGGAAAGAGATGATAATTGTGTTATCAAGTTTCTAAGAGGCCGTAATGAAGAATTTTGCCAGATTCGCTCTTGGGTTATGTTTATGGTCCAATGCCAGAATTTTTCCTTGATATCAATCTACTCCAATATCACAAGAACCTGTTGCTCTTGCCACTTTCATTGACAATTCTGGTAGAACGGTTTTACTCCAAGAGGTGGACTGACACTAATAATCATGGCAATCGTTCTGGTAAAATGAGAAGTAATGGCAGGAATAACAAATTCTGCACCAAGTGAAAAAAGAAGAATCATACTTGCTTTCATATCTAAGGTTTCCCCCTGGTTACAAAACAAACAAGATTGCCATCACAAATTTCAAGTCTTCTGCAAATGCTGCTGGTGCAATTTCTCTTGCTCAGGAAGAGGTCAACAACCAGAATGCTTTCAATTTTTCAAAGGATCAATACAATGCACTAATGGCTTTGCTCCAACAATATCAAGAACCCTCTTCATCTGTCAATAATGCTTAAAATCATCAGACGACTAATCCTGGTATAAAATTCTCTTGGCTTCTGAGTGTAGAAATGATTTTCTGTTTAAACGGAGGTGAGAGTTTAAACCCATACCAAAACGAAACTACTGTCCGTTGGTTTTGGTACTCCGTACTTTCGTTTACGAAGGTAAAGTACGGTTTACCAAAACGAAAGTACTGTCCATTGGTTTTGGTACTCTCACACGACAACTCTCACTTTCGTTTAATACTCCGTACTTCTCGCACCAAAACCCCCAGAAGACTGGAGTGTAGAAATGATTTTCTGTTTTGTTAAACAAGATATGTTTTCATAAAAATACAGCTTTGTAAACAAGATTGTTAAAATGTGAAGGAACCAACTGTCCTTTAGGTGTGCTCAGTCCGTCACGACCAAGGCACCAAGTAGTGGGCCACATGCCTAGAAGAAATCTGAAAAATCATATTCTCTTTTTTTTAAAGAAAGATAAAATTAGAACGAAAAATGATTCCCCATTTTAAGGGAAAAATTAAATGAAAATGGTTTATTTTCATTTAATTGAAGGTAGAAGTTCATTTTGTAAAACTAAATTACCTTTTTGAAAAAATTTGTTTTGGAAAGGAAAGTAATGGAGTTGATTAAGTTGAAAAAGTAAATTACCATTGTGTATAAACTGGAAATACATTGCATGCCAACCCGAAAAAGTTTCAGTTTTCATGAAGTAGAGGAGTTGATTAAGTTGAAGAACATTCAGTTAGAAAATAACTTACCTGTGTAAACCTTGGTTTTATTACCTCAACTTCTTTTCACTTGTCCTACTCCAGAAGTAATGAAGAGCTGTAATCCAAAGGTCTATGTATCAGTTTACTTTCAGTTAGGTTTAAAGAATTCACATGATATGCAGGTGTAGCATTTGCACTCACTCTTTTGAACAGCATTGTCAAGCGCTGAGGTTTCATCTCGTGACATCAAATTCTTCAAAGTATAAACTGAAAGAAGAAATTACAGATCAGATTTTAAGATATTGTGGGCACATGACCCCTTCTGCCCAATAAAGTAGCACAGTATCAACAAACTGCACACACTTTCAATTCCAAATAAAGGTCAACATTTTGGATATAAATATCTTTGAGCATAAAAATGTTCCCAAAAAGGAATCTGGGAGCTTGTTCCATGGCATCTAGTTGTCATTCATTATTCTGAGCTGTGCTCAATAAGCAGAGTTCACAGTTAAAATGAACTGAATAACGAAAAAGTATCTGGTCACACACATTGTATTGAGTGTTTATTTCTTTTAGCTATTGGTTTTACTTTTTCCCTTTCGGTGAAAAAAATTAAGATGATAAAATTCTGCTTCTATTATAACAAAAATATCTGTTTCTCCTATTAATCAATTTTCTTGCCTCATTCTGCACTGATGCTTTAGTACACAGGTACGTCCTTGCTCTTTAATGCTTCCAACAATGGGGTATTTTAAAAACCTACACTTTGAGGCAAAATTTTTAGATTTCTCTTTTCTAAAAAAAAGTTCATCATCATTACCCCAGTGCCGCAAAGGCTCCCACCTACGGTGGGGTAAGGGGGGTCGGATGTACGCAGTCTTACTCCTGTACTAAAGCACAAAGAGTTTGTTTCCGAATGACCCATAATTTTCTAAAAAAAAGAAAAGTTAAATCCTAAAAAACAAACCTACACTGTCAGATCAATTCTCCCCTGGTCCCCCCCATTAAAGCAGTGTCAAACGAATGAGAAATATTTGATTGAGATTATATCTTTTTATTCAAAAGGAATCTAAACCTCTAAAAGACCAATGTATGAGGCTCGGCATGTGGTGCCATATGGAAGCGAGCAGTCTTTAGTGTCATTCAACGACTGACTCCAGTAAGCTCATCTGCCTCTTTGTCCCAAAAGTTGAATGAAAGAGGGCTGAATTTTTCATCCAATGCATGGCTATTTCCACCTTTCATCCTCAAATACAAGGGATGTCTGAGAAAAGTAGCACGGGGTGAAATTTGCATTTATTCACCCTGTGGGTTGGAGATGGTGTAAGCAGTAGTTAGTCATGCTTCGACAGGACTTTTATAGCAATGTCTGCAAAGGAACGCCCAGGTTCTGTCAAGACTGAAATGCCTCCACACAACTCATCCCCCTATCTCAAAACAAAAAAACAATAGAATAACATTTCACCCTGCACATAAGATTATAAAAGGCTGCATTCCATTTACACGTACTTGGGCATAAACTGGAAATACATTGCATGCCAACCCAAAAAAGTTTCAGTTCTTATGAAATAGTGGAGTTGATTAAGGTAAAGAACATTCAATTAGAAAATAACTTACCTGACTAAACCTTGGTTTTATGACCTCAACTTCTTTTCACTTGTCCTACTCCAGAAGTAAGTCAACAAAGAAAAATGACGAGCTGTAATCCAGAAGTCTATGAGCAGAAGATCCTCATCTGGAACTTGTACATTGGCTTATTGATTCCACTGCTTGAAATCTCATTAAACTTCACAGATGGCTAGCAGCTAGGTAGATATGACCATATGGTGAGAAGCTTTTTAACCCCACATCTCAAATTTATTAGATACTCAGTCAGTAGTTTTTTCACCAATAATCTCCACATGAACAATCCCCTCCTTTGAAATGGTGATATCTGTTATTATCTCTAACAACTATTTCTCTCCTCATAATCTTGGATATCAACTTAGTAGCTGTGTGACAGTCCACACATACCCGAAGATTCTTGGTCACCCGGATGCTTGTTCCAGCAGGAGTATTAATGATTGCAAATGCTATTGCAATCCGTTCACTATGAGCAAAAAACAAATCATGTTTCTGTTCTTCATCAACATCATGCAAAGCCTCACTCGTCTCAGGAACATATCCTTCTACCTTCAGTCGCTCTGAAATGTTTTTCAATTCTGTTTCTATCTGGTTATATTGAGGATGTGATTTGTCCCCTGAGACAAACGCGTGTACCTTGTTCTTAACTTCAACCCAGCTGCAAGCTGGTGTCTTCCTCATTCCCTTCTTTTTCATATTGGTTCTAAGTTTCGAAGCATCTTTCCAGCGTCCTGCAATTGAATACATATTTGACAAGAGGACATAAGGACCCATATTCTTGGGATCCACTTTGGTTATTTCATGGGAAACTTTTTCAGCAAGCTCGACATTTTTGTGAACACGGCAAGCTGACAACAGAGCGGACCAAACACTCCCTGTTGGCTTAATATGCATATTGGAGACAAACTCGTACGCATCCAGTAGCCTTCCAGCTCGGCCGAAAAGGTCTGCAATGGCAGCATAGTGCTCAATCCCAGGGGCAATCCCATACTTTTGGCTCATACTTTTGAAATGTTTCCAGCCCTCTTCTATCAAACCGCCATGGCTGCAAGCAGTCAAAATAGCTACATAGGCGACAGAGTTAGGCTTCACACCATCTATCACCATCTTCTCAAATAAGATGACAGCATCATGTGCATGTCCGTGAAGTGCATACCCCATAATCATGGATGTCCAAGTAACTGAATCACGTAATACCATGTCATCAAAAATAC